TTGAGAGTAATCTCTCCAAGAATCGGGCCACATTGAGAGTAATCTCTCCAAGAATCGAGGAAGGATGAATACTCATCCCCTCACACCCCCAAGATTATCTTCTTCATACGTGGATCATCTTGTTGAACAAGAACGTATCTTTCTCGCTTGACCTACCAAAAAAAAGAAAGAAAAAAGACAACAAAAAAGAAAGAACGAGAAAAAAAAAAGAAATTACCTTCGCTTTAATGCTTCCAAGTCCACAAAAATAAACTCAAGTGGCTCGCAAATACTGCGAGTTGATGCTCAACAAATACAAGCACGGGTTTATATAGATTTCTCAAAGCAGCTGGACAAGAGGTTATTTCGATGTGGGGCTGGGATCAGATACAATAAGGCGGCTAAACATTCCCTTATTCGATTCAGACTCGAAATTGGCCTCATATCCTCTCAGAATTTACGTTTCTTTTGTTGTAGTTGGAATAAACCAGGTCTACTCCAAGTAATTGAATTTGTATCAAATGTGGAAGAAAGCAGCAAGCACTGACAATAAAACTAAAAGTATATGACTGTGGCAATAACAATGTCACGTAGAAGTCAAAGTGTAATCTCAAGCCTAATGATTATATTTAGAAAAGATTATTTTGTTGGATTTGGAGATCCTTTGGTAACGTTGGAATTCAAGAGGTCCTTTGGTATCGTTGGAATTCGAGTAACAAAAGTTCCAAATTCTCAAACTAACATCGCCTCGCTCAATTCTGTTAATATATGAATTTGATATAAAGTTCCCAAGACAAATTTGTCTCAGCTCGTTGGGTCAATGAATTAAATTGTCGAAATATACTATATTTTGGAAATTTTAATTCAACCTCGGATTCAAATTTGTTATCTTTGCTAGTACTTCACGAGTTATCGCAAGGATTATCGTATCCACACTACGACAAGCCTTGAAGTAGGGGGCATTTGTAGGCATATAAATTTTATTTAAATTAAATCCATAAAATAATTTGGACTATATTTTAAATTCAAGATATATTGGTCCAAATAAATATTATGGGCTAATATATAAATGAATTAATTATATAGGTCCAACATTTATGGATTAAATAAATAAGTCTTAATCTATTGGGCTAAAGTGATGAGCCCACTTAATTAAGCCCAAGATGTTATCTTCCTAGAGGCCCAGTTTGGTGACATATGTCAAATGACGTGGCGCGTCAAGTCAAACGAAAGAGCCAATAGGATCGTGCCATGTGTCAAAATGATAAGGCATGCCCAGTCACACTAAAAGTCCAATGAAATTGCGCCACGTGTGCAAGTGACATGTTCTAGCTAATCAAATGCGGCCATGTCACACTTCAATTTGATTGGTCGGAAAGAGTTTGTTCTTATCACAACTCCTTCTTTCCACAACTATAAATAGGGGTCTTCATAACTAAGAAAAGAGACCAGAAGTTATAACAAGAAGCAAGAGAGAGCTCGTGGATCAAACGCTGCAAATTTCTCTACAAGTTTCAAGCTTCAAGCAATCAAGTTCAAGTTCAAGAAATCAAGTTCAAGCTCGAGAACGAAGAACAATTCAAGTATTCAAGATCAAGAACGAAGTCAAATCAAATACAAGGCGTTCAAGATCAAGGCTACTTGTTTGTGATAAAATTCGTGGCAACAATCAAAGTGTTCGTGACGGATAAATCAAATTACAATTCAAGATCAAGCTCAAAGGCCCTTGAATTTATACTAGAAAAGTTGAATCAGAGGAATCATAGAGATTGTAACACTCAAATATTTGAAATAAAATACTACGATGTTGCGATATTTTTCGGTCTTGATTTTATTTCCTCGACGCAAATTTATTGTCTACAGTTACTTCCTACCGTTAAGTCATTAAACACTCACTCTAATATTTTTCTATCTCATTCTTTATATAAAACTACCTCCTTATTAAACCCTAGTGTATGTCCTCGTTTTCTTTTTTTTGCAGGAGATGTTGTGGCCATGCCCTATCATTATTCACAACTTATCAATTATTAGCAATTGAAGTGGTGGTATTAGCAATTATTCTTCATTCCCTTGAAGGAATAGTAATGGTAGGCACAAGGATGGAATCAATTTATCAAGGGGAGAAGCTACAAATTGGCAGTATGTATAGGATGTTGCCCAGAAATTTCGACAAAAAGACTTCTAGATACAAGGTCTTGGAAAAGAGCAAAACGGATCTAATGGAAGCAGACAAAATTGTGCGATAATGTTCTTGACGAGGAGAATTTGGATGCTGAACAGGAAGTTGTTGGAGACTTGGCAGACGCGCTAGATAATGTTTCCAAGCTGCAAAAATCACGTCGCTACATTGAACCACGATTTTCCTTTATCACGAACTCTGCAACTCTGGTGGCCGGTTAACAATTCCGACGGAAGAGTTGATTCTTGTATTCAGATGTATTTATATGTATTCGATAAGGCATACACTGATTTTTATTTTGTACGGTAATTTTTGACTGTTGTATTTGAATGTATTTATATGTATTTGAGTTCATACAATAACATTTTTAATACATTGTTAGTTCTAACTGTATTCATTTGTATTTTCAACCTAACTGTATCCATCTGTATTTAAAATAACAATACAATGAAATACTGCAAAATACTCTCAATACAAATAGAAAATCAATGAATACAATCAATGAAGTGTATTTAGATTGTAGACAATGACTTTTAGATGTATTAAGATTCTGTTAGAGAAACATAGGATGAAGGAACGCATATATTATGAATACAACATTATAGCTGGATACAACAAATTGGAAAGGATGAACTAAATCTTTGAATATTGCTCTATTTTTTGGGTGTTTTTCGTCAGAGAAATCTTTTCCTTAACTGGACTAATAATTTAGCGGGTTACAATTGAGTTTGTTGAGTTACATTAGGAGTTTATCACGTTAATTGATTCACTTTCCGTTTTTAAACAGTTGAAGAGGCCTATTTTTACGTTGTATTTATGAATACATCTCACCAATACATATGAATACAGCAGATAATAGCTGGCATGCCCTGTTTTTTTGCCAAGTTTTGCTACTGTATTCATGCAGTATCTTGAATATATCGAATGCATTCCATAACTGAAAAGATAGTTATAGGAAGTAATTAAGTAAATAGTAGCTATAACAAGTTAATAACCACTAAACAATTGTGGTTTCTAAAAACTTGTCTAATATAAAGTGTGGTTAGGTTCCCATTCAATGTGCAGAAACCTGAAAGTTGCAGCCATAGCAGACATGTTTTTGCCAAGGGTAGAGGGCCCGTGAATAAACCCCAGCCTTCAACTTAATCAAACAGAGCCCGTTCGGATTGGCTCAAAAAATGTAGCTTTTCAGCGTCCCCACTGCTGGGAGGCATTGAATTTGGAAAATGGTTCAGTGAGAAGATAATCACTATAAGTCAGAAGTCATCTAAAGATAACATAAACATATCGAATAACAGCTGCTATCACAGAATTAAAATGATGGTACTGGTCACATTAAAAAAATATAGCAAAAAACATGTTCCTATTAAGCGATTTCAAACACAATTTTTGCAGACTCTCGAGAAACGAACTTCAGAAGACAACTGTGTCAAGCATGGTTCCCAATGTCTGAACTATGTTTGAAGACATCAAATTTGAGACATGCTCTTCAAGATGCTTCTTTGCATCTTGCCTTCCTACATTTGCAATAGCTAGCTTTTCTGGAGGCAACTCATCCTCCTCCTGCACTGCTTTATTATACTTGACAGCAAGGTTTAACATCTCCTGCACATGAGAATATTTGAAAAGAGTCACCCAGCATGTCAAGGACAATATTTCCTAGTTTCTCTCTCTTTCTCTCTCTCTCTCTCTACCGTGGAGAGGCCGAGATGAAAAAATATCAGCAAGCCTATTCTGCGCTTCTAACCATCAAAGGTTGGCACACAACGTAACAATGGTGTTGTATTTAAATACCACGCAAACCCAAAGATTACCTGAACTGTCTGCTCATTGGTTTTGGAATGAGCATCAAAACGCTGGAGTGTGAGTCCATCTGTCCATTTCTTC